GTGTATGTGTACATGTATGTATGTGTGTGTGTTTGTATATATTCGTGTTTCGTATGTATATGTGAGTTTGTGCAGATTTGTGTGCGTATGTGTATGTGAACATGTATATATATGTGTGTGCCTGTATGCGTGAATATTTTTTTTTCTTATTTCCTCGTCTCTTCCGTTTCAGGAATGAGGTCGTGAGAGACGGAGGATCTTGAGATGTTCTGAGAATTCGGTAATGAAGCTTCACGACGAAGAGGGATATATAGATACATATCCAATTTGCTCTCATTGTTTATCATCCACTGTTCTTGGAGAGCATATTAAAGAAGAAGAAAAAAGGAAAGATGTTATGAGAGACTTTTGCTGTTCCTTTCCCTACATGCCTTGTATTCTGTGATATCAAATTATGTATATTATTTTTAGCATTGCTATATGTTTTTCACTTTTTTTTCATTTGATGTTCGTCGTTGCGTTTTAAACAATATCTATATATAGATTATCTTTTCGTTTTTTTCCCTCTAGTTTTTACCCTTAACTAATATACGGCGCATATGAGTTATTATTTTATTATTGTGTCCCCGAAAACAAAAGATTTATTCTCCGTTTTCTTTGAAAGCCTGCGCATCTCCGCTTCTCTCTATATACTTTTTTCTTTTTTTTTCTTTATCTTTTCCTTTGCTTTCCTTCTTCCCGTTCCTCTTTTTTTCTTTCGTATGAACTGTATTCAGTCACAGACTTTTGTTACATATCTTCTTCATCTGTATTAGTATTATTTCATATTATAATCTTTATGCTTTATCTGCAACGTCCTTATCTGCAATTTTCTGCAATCAATCTTTTTTTATCATTGTTTATTATTTTTATCATCATTATTATTACTATTCCTGTTGCTATTATCATTATCATCATTATTATTATTGTTATTATTAATATTATCATCAATACTATTATTGTTATTATTATTATTATTATGGTTATCCTTATTATTATCATTATCATTTCTATCATTATCGTTTTTATTAATTTTACTATCATTATCATTTGTTATTATCACAACTATGATCATTATAATCATTATTATAAATATTATAATTATTATTGGTATTATCATTATTATTGTACTATTTTTTTCATAATTATTATTATTATGATAATCTTGATTATAAGTATTAGTATCATCATTACTATTATTATTGTTATCATCATCTTTATATTATTATTTTCATTACCATATTCTTATTATCATTATTGTCATTACTTTCATAATCATTATTACTATTACTATTATCATCATTATTATTATTTCTATCATCATATTTTTCATCATTACTATTATGAACCATTACTCTTAACATGAACATAACCGTCACCATCTATTGGCATCGACTGGCAAGAAATATTTATTGTAAAACCTTGTCATAACTCGCATATTAGAAAGAAAGATTCATTAGAAATCAGAAAAAAAATCAATATGAATAAAATTGCTTATATTCTTTTCTTATAATTCTTGGACATTGCATCATGGGTGGAAAAAAATATAATATATATATTTTGCTATAGAATTAAGCTTCTATGATGACTTTATTTTATTTTATTTGCTATATTAATAACTTCCATTTTCATTTTTATAAATGAAATATTCACTTCTAGACCTTAAAATCACAACAAAATGGGGCATATAAACAGATATTTCCAAAAAAAAAAAAAAGAAAACTGTGGCAAGAAATACAAAATAATATACATAATATCTCTTTATTTACACAACTGTATTGACAATGTCTTCAGTATTGGGAAACAAACCATAGTTTTTTTTATTTTATTTTATTTTTTTGAGAGGCGATGTATTCACCCCTCCTCAAAACTCTCTCTCTCTATGGAAGGTGTGTATGAAAGACTTTTCAGGAGAACACTGTGGCAGACTCTACAATTCCCTTCAGTCTTCATATACTATTTGCAGGCTATTGGCTTTCTGTGTTTTCTTGTTTTTGTTTTTTTTGTGTGAATTTTATATCTTATGTTTTTTTTTATAGTGGACAAACTTCAAGAGCTCTGCAAATCTCTGTGTTTATAAGAATAAAATTTTCTGATACTCTTTTTTTTTTCATAAATATTTTTTTGACAGAAAAACTGAAGAGAACTGTAAAGGACACACGAGAGAGAAAAAAATAATAATAATACATTCCATCATTACGAAGAAAAAAAAATTATTATCATAGAGTATAAGGTATATTTGTAAGGTTACCTTATAATGAACACAGGTAATACAGATTACGAACAACCCTTTTATCAAAATGATACACCAAATCACTTTTATGTCTTTTTGTACAAATCAAATAAGAGGTAACTATAACAACTGCCCCTCAGATCCTACGTGAAGTCGAGTCTCCTTATATTCTTCAATCTCTGGACTCCTCTCTTTCTGGATCAAATTTATATAAGACTGAGCATCTAGCTGCAAAGAATGAAATGGAAAGATGCTGCTCATAGCCTGATCACTTTTAAAAAATAATAT